AAAACTGATTCGTCTTCGAAGAGCTATCGTAAAATATCACGCAGCTTATGAATGCAACTGAAAAAACAAACAAAAAAAAAAACCAAAAAAACGACACAGGCAATTTTACTGAAACATGAAATTGCCGTTGAGATCACGGTACACAGGACCTCGCAGCATGTTCAAGGGCGTAAAATATGACTGGCTGATCACATTTTTGAAATCATGGTTTACCCCTTTGTAGAAGTTCTTGAACTGAACCAATCATACATAATTTCTACCCATGTGGGGCTAGATGGCGATCGAATGTGCAACGTGTGACCACCGTAGAAATTTTGCACAATAAATATTAGAAGCGTGCCACAGAGAAAAGTTACTACTCTGAATGAGGCACGTGCCTGCGTAAATGTCATGTTTGCGCGCAATCATAATAGAAAGGTCGCGGCTGCATGCGGCTGTAAGAATGTTGTGTTGCTTCCCACAAAGCGGGGAATCCACTTGCACTGTTTTTCGTAGGGTTATGTATGCTAAACATAAATGTAATTTGCGCATGCTTGTCATGTCAACTATGGCCAGTCTTTCGATGCAAACCTATAATGAATGAAGTAGCGTAGTTGCACGCATTTCTTGCTGCAAAGATAAGCTTCTTTACCGTTAATACCCATCTGATGCTTCAATTTGACATGGAATGAGTCACCTTCTACAGATGCGGCACGCTCGGCTGCCATGGTTGTTTCATTTAGGTGGCCATGGCAGACGACGCTGGCAGTCATGCATTGAGAGAATCGTAACACTTTTCCCGGGCTGTTATTTAGCACATTGTAGAGTCGGGGAAGAAGCCGCAGCAGTATTTTACTGATTTGGCTGAGTGAAGTACAATAATAATAATAATAATAATAATAATAATAATAATAATAATAATAAAAGACGCGAAAGTGGCTGCGGGCTGCTCGCGAGAAGGTGGCATAGCAATCCAACCACGTACGTTACAGGGATGCCTCCACATGGTGGCACCACGATATGTCCTCGCACCCAATAGTCTTGGTTGGGGCATTCAGGCAAACAAGAGAACGCAAAATGACGCAAAGACTCAAACCAAATCGAAAGCAAATTGTGACGTGGAGTGAGAAAGCAAGATAGGTGGAAAAGAAAGAGCAGCGCATAAAGCTGGTATCGCCCTCGCCCATAGCCTGTAGGTGGAGAACGGGCCAGCTTTGTCAGCAAAGAAACTAACAAAAAGCGTTCGACCTTTCGTATTCTCCTTGCGTTCTTCAGTTCCCCAACAGGAGTACAGTAGAGAACAGAAAAACACGCTGCCTAAATTTCGGAACTGCTTACACAAAGCACTTCCTACTTCGTATTCAGCGCGCAACATTGTCAGCATGTTCATGCGGCCAAGACGATGAGGATATCTATCACCTCTTGCTCGACTGTCCGAAACGCGACACACACCGAAGGCGACTCGAACAGGAACTCCATACGTTGGATCCCGATCGGCCATTTGTGTTGGATAAAATACTAGGCCCATGGCCATCTGAAATCAATGGTTAAGCAATGAAGGTACTGCAACGCTTTTTCGAAGACACAAAGATTTGTGACCACTACTGAGCACGCTATAGTTAAAAGTGAGTGTGGCGGCTAAGTGTTTGTACTGCCCATATGTGAACTTTCGTACTGAGCTTTGTAGGACTCTATATACACTAAAACCTCGTTAATTCTAACTTGGTTATTTTGAAATCACACTTAGTTCAAAGGATTTCTGTGGTCCTGCATTGTGCAATGCAAGTTTGAAAGGATAATTTGAAGTGGCGGCCAGCACCAGTTCGGTTAATTTGAAAACTTTAGGTGCTATGTGCCAGTTCGAGACCCTGATTTCGCCGTGAAACCGCTAAACGACGGCTATTAATAGCCACAAGGCAATGAAACGTATCGATACTAATGAGTCGCAGCTGAAGCACCCCAGCCTCGCTATTTCCAGTGCAAAAAAGAAAAGAAAGGAAGAAAAAAACGGTCTTGTCAACTGAAATGTGCGCCTGCGGAAAACGAGCCATGCTTCACTGCAACACAGCGGTGACACGCGGGCAGCTTATCGCATGTTTCTCGCAACGTCAGCGGGTCATGGTTTACCCATTCTTTCTGGGATTGTGAAGAAATTAATAAAGGACAGTTTAGCGGAAGTCGCGATGTATGCAAACCTCCGATCGCCGGATGCTCTAGCAATTCGCGTCTTTACACTGCTGGCGGAGTTCTTGCTAGCAACACCTACTTCGAAAACGAAGTTTGAAAGTTTCGAAGATAAGTTTTTACCACCAAAACACATTATTAAATTTATAATTAAAATAGAAAGAATGTGCGAATGGTAGCATCATGATGTCCTGACGGAGCGAGGAGCAGGCGACATGCTGCCTGCATGTCACTACTGTGTTGCAGTAAAGATGTCTTGTTTTCCGCAGGCGCACATTTCAGTGGATTACGACCGCGTTTCTTTTTTTTTTATATTTTCGGTGGCAGCGGCGAGGCGCACCGTTCCTCCATGCTCGGGGAATAAAGAGCGGGTATTGCTGGAAAACACGGCCTTTGGAGCCGCAAGCTAGCCGGCACAGAAAACGACGAGCACTGATTACTTCGAATAGTTCCAAGTTCCTCCCATCCCACTTCTTGTATGTTCTATTCATTCGAAAACCCGAATAATTCGAAGCTTTCTCGCAGCCCCAGTGACTTCGAACTAACGAGGTTTTACTGTATGTATATATGCTATTTTGTTTATTTTTCATTCTTTATTTGTAACAATCAAGTGAAAAGTGGTAGCCGTTGCCAAGTAACGGTGACAACTTCTTCGTTTATTTTCTACTTCAATAAAAAACACAAGAGCTTGGCTAAAGGAGAACTGCAAGGGAAGGGGGGCAAAAAGAAGCCTTATGAAATTGAAATTGGGAACGAAAATTGCCTGTACATTATAATCGCATGAAACGGAAACGACATATGTGGCACTAGCACTCTCATCGGAGAAGTCAGATGCATTGCAATGATGAATGGTGCCTGAACACATGCTGTGGTCAGTTTGCATTGTCTTGCATAAGCGCTGTGCACGTCATATCTGTTCGCAGTGAAATGCAGCAAATTGTGATGTGCCATCTTCATTATGAAGTTGCACGACAAAGGAAGGTGCTTTTGCACACTAACTATAACTGCGTCGTGTCTTCTTTATGTGCCTAAGGCTTGTGATTGTGAGTAGCATGAACAGAGATTTTTCAGCTGCCTGTTGTTCAAGAAAAGTTACTACGAGCTGGAAATAAGGAAATATTCTCAAAGAAAAGCTTCCAGACTTTGATAGTCAACTTGGCGTATATGTGTTGGCTTTGTTAAGGTAACGATATGCAATGGAGGCGTATCAAAAAGGGATAGCAATGCCAGTAAAATAGTCCCTCGGAAGGCGAGCAGCCAGAAGAATAAATTTTCCATTCTCTGAAGGAAAACTGTGCTTGTCTCTCCCTTTATCTTTTTGTAATCTTCAAAATATGGTCATAGTTCAGTTTTATTGTTAAAATGTGATAGCAATTTATTCATGAGCATATTTATTATTAACTTGCAAAATCAAGTACTCGTAAAATTAGTCTAAATGCTCTACTTATAAGCATAGCTTTTATCAAGCTGAGCCAAATAAACGCTTTTTCTTGTTCCATTCCTCCCCATTGGAAGTCTACTTCATTCAGTGTTTTAAAGCAGCTTATTTAGGTGTACTTGGCATGTTAGCATTTGATTTTGGGGGTACTTCTGGTATGATGAACTGTTGATAAGACGAACTACTAATGAAACGAACAAATGATTGTGGGCTTTTCGGGTTCGTCTTAAAAGGAGTCTACTGTATACTGCTTGTGTACTAGCTGCATACTCTCATACTGCTCGTTTAATAAGTATAACTATTTATGAGATGCTAATTGATTCCTTCAGACTTCAGGAGTCATTAGCAACATGCATCTGCTCCGAAAACACCAATAGCCTCTCCAAACTGGCATTTTTTTCTGCTCCGAAGACACTTGAAGCTACTCCAAAGCACCATTTTTTCTGCTCCAGAATCTGCTCCAAAAAGCAAAACGTCTCTTTCATCATCACTGCTGTTGTGTCTGTTTCAACAGGCAGTCCTTTTTCAGAAGGTCATATATTGGAGCAAATGTGGTTGCCATACACAAAAGGACCTTGCTGTAATAAGCGAACAGACCAATTTAAGAACGTAGCTCGCTCATGTTGCTTGGACTTGGTGGCTTCATCAAAGCTTCCAGGTTCTTCTCCAGTGGATGAAGTCAGTGACTGGTGATGTGCCCCAAATACGATACTTCCGTCTCCTTCGAAAAAACTTTTATCCTTCCCTATTTTTACGCCACATTCATGGAAGTGCTGGAGCACAGCTTAAGGTTGCTATTGATGTCTGCTTTGCCTTCTGCCATCAGGACATCAGCTTATGAGCCACCCGAACAGTCACCCCTGAAGGAGGGGACCGATTCGATCCCTGCGTGAGGGGTGACTTTTCGGCAAAGCTTGTTGAGCATGCAGTCTGGCGCGTGCCTGAGAATCGAGGATAGCGATGCATTGTGCTTACAGGTAATGAAATTTCCAAAAAATATGATTAAGACTCGTGTTGTCAACAAAATGAATGGAAAAAAACAAAACTCCGGCAAGAAAGCGCCATTGTGAAAATTCGCAGATTATGTTTCGGGCTGCATATATTGTGCACACTATCACGACCGCAATTTTTGTGCGCTGAACGGTACCGATCGTTCGATTTCACAGGCTCGCACTCCGTATCCAAACTTATCCGTATCCAAACGAACTTATTTAAAATAAGTTCGTTTTGATGAAGTGGAGCTTTTTTGAGAGATCGATCTGTCCAGAAGCCTTATGGCCGATACAAAGGCTCCACTAAATTTTTCTTCTCGGGGCGGCTGTGTCGGGCTAGACATCTGTGTTGTCGCATAAGTTGTTGCACAGATGAACCGGCTGAATGCTCGTGACTTGTGATGCAGGTTCCAGGCGGTCTGTGGCTACCATTCGAAAGGCGACGACCACAACGAGCCAGGCAGTGCCTGCCGAGCTGCCAAAGGCCCCGACTGGACCACAGGCCGCTTCAACTGCGCAGCCCTCGCGGTTGGCTCCCCGTTCGCGATTGAGGCCTCCCACTAGTCGAGGTGATTTGGGAGCACACGATATTTCACCAAAGGGGAGGATCGGATTGATCGATGTGGTGCTGTACCAACCACCTAGGGAGAGACGTGGGTCTTGAAATTTTCTTTTTATTTTTATTTGTCTGAATTGAAGGAACCTTGATACACTTATTCAGTTTCTTCTGCAGATTCTAAATCTCTAAGTAGATTTCGGATAGCTGCATTAGAACAGAAGATATTAAATTTTTATAATATGCAATTAGCATATTTAAGAGCTTTTTGGTAATTTTACTATGTGAAACACAAAAACAAAGTATAGATACAAATTTCCAGAGAGCTGGTCTGGCTGATGATGCTAATTTCAGTGTTTGAAACAAACTTCAAGTGTTGAATAAATGGATACAAAGTCACTCTGCTGAATACAAACATGAGTGAAAAATTTCTGCCACATATTGTTTACAATTGTCACGAATTTAAATTTTGTGAACTGAGATACAGAAAAAAAATGAATAGCATCATTAGCCAGATCTATACATTACGAACAATTTGGGATCAATCTTCTTATTGTGAGTCAATAAATACATGTCGAAATGCCCCGTAAGCTAAGTGTTATGTCCAAAAACGTGAAACTGAAAAAAAAAGAGCACTTAAAGTTTTAGTTTCCCATAAATTTATGTGGTATTGCAACATAACTGTATTAATAGCATCATTATATAGCTTTGCTCTTCAGGAAGAAGATAATGTCATATATGTTACAAGAATGTCACAGGAGCCATGAAAAATTTGGGGTAGTATTAGCATGCATAGTCCTTGAAAATAGTGCAAGAAAGCTGCTACCAAAAACTTCACAACTGTGTGTCAGCTTGTATGTGTACACTGTGCATGAAAATAACATGTCTATGTGGTCTATTGTCACTTTTGCACCAAGGGCGGTCACAAAAATAAAAATGGGGGAAAATAACATTATTTGAGTTCTTGCAATGACATGGGCTTGAATCTACACTTTACAGCTGACCAGGGCTATAGGCAGTGTCCGTTGTTGGCTTGTGCCTATTCACGAGCTTGTATTTCGTGGCATTTCTGGCTGCTTGGTCTTTTGCATTTATAAATGACGTTATTGATGAATCTCCAGTCACCCTCAGTGAAGCAGGTATTGCTCATCTTGCATACCGCACGTTGAGCATGCCATCACGAGTTTCACACTAATGTTTATACTCATTTCTTTGCTCTTTACACACTGTCACTGCAAGTGGTGCGAATCATAAATCCGAGAATGTAGTTAAGCACTCTCAAATGTACGATCAAGAATTCCATTCCACTGTCACTGGGATTCGCTTGTTTTGTGTCGACGCCGAGAAGTTCAAATTTTCGTTCCGTTGCCGACTTGACGCGAAGGGCTTTTCACGTTGGCCGCACTTGCTGTGCCCTGGCTATTTTCCTCAGTTGATAAGAAGTTCTGTGATAACACTCGAGGCATGGCCCAACGAAATAGGCACACTATGCATGCCAAGTTGCGTTTCGGACGCAAACCGCCTACCGCGGATTCCGGACGTGTTCCGCGGCAAGTAGTGGGCTGCAGTAGTGGGCTGCAGTAGTGGCTGCAGTGCTGTATTTGATGCGTCAAAAGACAATTCCGCGATTATTATGAATTCTGTGCTGGCATTCGAGGCGTCCACGCTCGATGTGCTAGGATGCAGCTGCGTGATCAATTTGTCGAGCGGCTATTGCGGACATGCCTCGCCGAATTATGTCAGGCATTCTATGGTCGCTGAGGTTTCTTGCCAAATACGCACCGTGTGGTTTTCTTCAGACAAATGTTTTCGGACATTTGAGCAGCTCAATGATCGCAGTTGGTCAAACGTGGTAGTGAAGTTGCCAACCTGAGGAAAGTTGCGGAGCAGCTGAAATCCCAAGCCGAGAGAGAGAAGAGAGAGAGGTTGAGAAAAGGAAAAGTCGAAACTTCTGCAGCCCTTATTGGGAGCACGGCTCGGCTCCTGTAGGAGTGGGGTGAGGGTATTAAAGATGTGGAGAAGATAGGAGAAGAGAGAAAAGGCGTACATGAACGAGGACGTGGCGAGCCGCTTCTAATGCCGGTTGTCCAGTCCAGTGTCCTCAAGGAAGCGAAGAACCGCCTTGAAGACCTGGGTGTGTTACCGTGTCCCTCTGTGTAGCCGGGGTCGGACTGGCGCCAACGTACGGCAAGACGTCTCATTGTGTGCGAAGTCTTGGGCAAACACACACAGCTTCTCGATGGTTTCATCTGCCCCGCATGCAGTGCACGCAGGGGACGAGGCTCTGCCAAGCCGATGACTCCGGGCCGCAGGCCAGCAGCAGCCGATGCGCAAGCGAAATAAAAGGGAACTCTCCCCCCTGGTGAAACCCCAGCAAGGCAGCCGAGTTGGCGGTTTCATCCTGGCTACACGATTGTCAGAGTGGCAGCGTAGCAACAGCCTCCTCAATGTGAGCCTCGAAAGGTCTGAGGCGACCACCGCCTGGCACACAAAAACAGCGTAGTGATGCGCTTATTTCGCCAGGGCGGCTGCCTGCTCATTTCCCTGGATTCCCACATGAAATGAGACCCAGTGGAGAGAAACATTGACGCCACTGGCAAGGACAGCATGCAGCTCGGTGACAAGCAGCTGTGTTTCGAAGCCTGCCCATTCCAGTTTCGCCATGGCCAGCAACGCAGTTCTTGAGTTGCATGCAACAGCCACGGGGCACATTGGGGGGTTTACCGCCTGAAGGTCAACTGCTAGGTGGAGACCGGCCAGTCTCTGCAGTAGGTAGAGCAGACCGCAAAAGGGAGACGACAGGAGGCCTGTCCAACTAAGTGCTGGCATTACACAGTGTATGGGAGGATGGAGCCGACCATGTACGCAACAAGCCTTCCAGCCTCTAGCTTAGAGGCAGATGCCAGCTTGAGAGCGCAAATGGGTGAGCGACGCTGGGAAAGTCCTCAAAGGCCGGTGTTGATAGCGAGTGGTTTTTCTGTTGGCGGGTTAAAGGGATGGTGGGAGGCACTGGTTCCACAGCTTCGTGATAGATCTGCAGCAGCTCGCCCATCCGAGATCCTGGTGGACTTTGCAGCCGGGTGGGCAGGTGGTGCCAATCAGGCGCATGGGCTAGCCGATTAACGTGCAGTAGGCCACGTTGCATGTAGGAGCAGTGAGAGAGGCCAGACACCCACCTTTGCCAGAGTGGCTGCTACTTGAGTGAACCGTGGCAGGCCGAGGACACAGCGAATGAAGCCCCTATGCAGCAACTTGAGGTGCTTGCGTGCGATAGCAACACAAGACTGAAAAAAAAAAAAAAAAAGCGGCAAGTCAATAGGAGGACAGCGCGCAAACGACTTTTAAAAAAGAGAAGGTAGCGTCACTCTCCATTCATCATTTTGAAAATAGCGAAAAAATGCACAAAGCAAGCAGCTTCAAACAACATCAAGATGGCAGTGCAGTGGTCGTCGTGTTCAGAAGTTTTGAGCGTGCGAACTTCGAACATATTTAGCCAATTTTCGGTCATTTCGCCTCCACTTTGAGAAGTAAAATGCTGTTTTTCTTTTTTTAGTATCTTTTGGTTGAACGCATCTTTCAGATTTTTCCGGGAGGTTATTCAAATGTTTGAATTTCGTGATACTGCACTTTTTTGCGCTTTTTTGCCATTTCAAGACCCGCAGTCTCCCCTTATGAGCATATTGAGATTGCACACTGTTGCCAAATGAACACGATATCAATGCAGACTTGACAGGTAGGTCACAAAGAGCAAACTTCAACTTAACCATGTCTCTCTGTAACAGTGACATGCATTTCTTATTGACTGTAACGGCATAAACGTATGATTCCTTCACGCTGGACCCTCAGTTATAGCAAAAGTTATTCATCAGCTCAACTTGTGGTTGTGAGGCACCTCTTCTACATCCTTGGCTTTCACGATGGGTAAAGATGTTCATTCGAATTAACTCACACATCCACATTATAAGGGTTCTGTAAGATTGTCCTTGCAATGGAAACTGATTTGTTGTGCACAATTTTGTTTTGCTGTGCGCAAGCAGTGCTACCCGTTCCTCCAGCATTGACCTCTTCTCATGTCGCAGCATCGGGCAGCACTTCGAGAGTGCCCAGACCGGCAGCATTCAGGGAAGCCTCCTGCCTCCCGCAAGTGCCAGAGTCTCCCGTGGCAGGTCGCCTCTCGTCGACACCTGCCAGGTATGCTGTGGGTGGTGTTCTTTTGCTATCATTCTGTATTTAGCAGGGATGATGCATTGCAGCCTCTGATTGGCAGGGTGGCTGCTTTTGTGGAAGCAAGGCTGATCTTGTCGTGGTAAATTCTGTCATTTCATGCAAAGATCATGTGCCCCGTGGTGCCTCTTGGCAAAAAGTGCCCTACACTTGCCACTTTCGTTATAAGCAGAGTTGTACGTAATGCCCCACTAGCAATTGATTACTTGTAATCAGTTACATTTTCTAGTAATGTTATTATATTACAGAAGAACGGCTATTTGGGTTAGTTGGTTGAATTACATGTTAATAAGGGCTGCAGCGCAAGCACTAAAGGACTGGAAGAAAAAAAGCATACAGAAGGCGAGGAACGGAAGGCAAAGAGGGACAACACGAGCGCTGGACTACCAACTGAATTTATTTTCCGCAGCACTTGTTAGTACAGTGGACTCTCATTAATTCAAACTCGAAGAGACCTCTGAATTCTGTTTGAAGAATCAAGAAGTTTTAATTATGAGAAGCGCTCAGATCGATGACTCTGTGTGAGGTGACACCACACATTATGATTAGACATTGATTTTATCACATTCAAAGTTTTTAAGTGTCTTTAAATCCTAACTGCATGCAATGAACAGAAAGCAGAGGCATGAAGTCCACAAGTTTATTGGCCACTTACTGCTGATCACACCGCTTAAAGAAATTGTGAATTGCCAACTGCTTCATTGCTATATGTGCCTTCAGCACAAAGGTTTCTATACCAGTTGAAAAGCATCACGGTTTACCATGCGTGTGCTTTGTTTCAAACACTTGTTTACTAGCAAAGCCTTTTTCTTTAAAGGCCTGAAGCACTTATTTTTCATTTTCAGACTGTTACGAATATATAAGCATGCAAATTTTTAAATAGTAGTTGGAAAGCAGCAGATATTTTCTGCTATGGAACTGCAAAAAGTATTAACTGGGGGTGTAACAGCTGCCCCAGTTGCGCCAATTTGATACAATTTCTGATTGTTGCGCCAAAATGCCCAGCCGCCCGCAAAATTTTCTCAGGTGCACTAATTAGGGCGAGAAATGCAGGCCACGTTGGCCACCTACAGTTTGCGTCATCTGTCGGAGCGCGCAGACCCCAGCTATAGTGCCTGGAATGTACTTCAAATATGACCAGATAAAGTAACAACGCTGCGTGTCCATCGGTTCGTTGACCGCAGTGGATCACTATCGGCGGAACGCTGGAACTTCAAGACAAAAATGCGTTACTGTAGCCACCGACGCTTTGTGGAAAATGTAAATTTTCTAGCCTGAAAGCAGCTATTGCTTGTTAGGAACTAAAGCTGGAACCGTATGGCGCGTTTTTCTCGCGCGAACAAGCTGGACGTGCTGCAAATTGCTAGGCTTAATAAAATTTGATAAAATGATGGTGGTGCAACAGATACTAGCGAGGAAAAAAGTAGAAAACAGGATAGACAACATGGTCGCCGGCCTTGCCAGCGATCCATGTTGATTGCCTTAGCAGAGGCACATAAAACTATTTATTTTTGTTAATTTTGAAGTTGCATCGTCTCGGCCACGGACCTGGCGATAGATATCCAATACTGTCGCCGGGCCGACGGACGCGCGCCTTTGTTCCTTTACCTAGTCTAACATGCTTTGCAAGGGAGCCGAAGCGGCACCTAACCTCCCCGGTGGAAAAAAGAAAAATGGTGGGAAGTGGAGGGGGAGGTGTAGCGCTTAGAAAATTTCTTGGCTTCTATTGTTACCCGTACAAAGAATGCTGCTTAAGCCACCTTCACCGCAGTACACCGGTGCCCAGCGGAAAAGCGTGTTTAGATTTGGAAAGGGTTGTTAGTGGTATTCACAGGACGCTGCGCATTTTGCTAGGTTACGCATGCGTTTGTACAGTAAAAGCTAGTTCATTCGAACCACAAGGGGAAGCCGCCTCAGTTCGTATTAACAAAAGTTCGAACTAACGAAAGTGAAGAACAACCATAGTACACTGCAAGTAGGGCCTAATTTATTTTTTTTTAAATCTGGAATCGCATTCTACCTTCTTTCCTTGAAGGCGACAGCCAGCACTTTTTGCTCTAACGAGCAAATTTGGCGGAAGGCCTCTTCTCCGCCTTCATTCAATCCGGCCATGACTTCTACACAGCAGAGGGCCGCACTTGTGCTTCGTCCTCCTCCTCATCATCGTCACTGGCAGTGAAAGGTTCTGCAATTCTCACTCGACATATTATGTCGCCATCCGTGAGTGCACCACACACCACTGCACTTGAGTCCACATCGACGTAGTCCGCAAAGCAGATGTCTTCCAAAACGTCCGCCATGGGGGTGGTGACGCGGTGTTCGAGCACTGGTGGCTCATCAGCTTTCAGAGCTTCGGTGCTGAAGCCACAGTGGCGAAAGCAATTCGCTTTCACGCACAAGCATGCACAAGCATGTGTAGTGCACTTAGGAGCATCACTTGGTAGTTATTGCACAAAAGAATTCGTCCCAACATATGACGCCAATAAAATGATCTTAAATTTCTAATTATACCCTGGTCCATGAGCTGCAGTACCGCTGTCGTGTTTGCTGGAAGGAAGGCCAGCGCAATGGCCTTCGTCTCAGCGTTGACTTTATGAGCCGAACAGTTGTCCACAAGAAGTAGGACTTGGCGGCCGCAGCGTTCGAACTTCTCGTCAAGCTTCCCCAGCCACTGCGTGAACAATTGCCTCGTCATCCAGGCCTTTTTGTTGGCCGCATAGTCTGATGGGAGGGACCAGATGTCCTTGAAGCAACGAGGACGTCTGCCTATCACAAACGGAGGCAACTTCTCGGTCCCGGTCATGTTCGCAGCAACCATTACAGTTATCCGTTCTTTACTTGTTTTCCCTCTCGTGTACTTGTCTCCTTTATACGTGATAGTCTTGGCGGGCAGCAATTTGAAAAATAAGGCAGTTTCTATAATAAGGCAGCTTGATAAGGCAAATAAGGCAGTTTGACAGGGAGAGGTGTTCATCTAAACGAACAGTAAAACCGCGGCAGATAGCAATTTGTGAAATTCGTCATCCAAATTCTACTGTGTTCATTGGGCCCAAATTCGAATGTTCCAAACACTTTTCGTAATCGCGGCGTGTGATATGAACTTTAGTACCATAACCGTTGAACGAAGGCCGATCGAAAGGAGCTGTGCTCAAATTTTCAGAAGTATGCGTGCGACCAGCGCATGCACTGTCTTCTACACATGCGTACGCTTGTTGCCACAATCGGTGTGGATAAAACCGTAGTCGTTCTTAACACGATCATGTATGGTGACACGTTACTGACAGTACTTTGAAAGTGTGCACGCGTCCAACGCTCAACCCGTCACAGCAACGCTGCTTTCCGCAAACTTTGTGGACAAGACCATGGCAGATGCTATCCTAGATAGGATAAATTGACTTAGTTTTGAAGGCACGTGCACAGCCAACGCACGCGGATTTGAAACGGATCTATAGTTTTCCGCAACTGCTGCACACAAAACCGCAGTCGCGGCGATGGCGATGAGTGAGCGATCTACGAGCTCCGAGGGCACGTGGCTAGCGCAGCGTTAGATTAAAGGCAGCAAGGATGTAAGAAAAAGCTAGAAGCGCTTTGCATTCCTGTCGAAAGAATCCAATAGTGAGCAAAGCCAAAACTCACCCGCGCTCTCGTGGAAGCCAGCTGCGTTGTCCCATCCGTTCACATGTACCCAGGAAGACACACACAAGTTGTTTTGACGGAATTAGGTTTTGCTAGTTGTTTTGATGACACCGATTCCAGGAGTGTTTTGCGCTCCCCTTTGAGACTTTCATTTTAGTAGGAAACCTACTTCGTGTGCTCGACCACTCCTGGCCGTTATAAGACCGCAACGTCGATGTTGGCGTTTACCATTGGGACCCCCCCCCCCCCCTCTTCCTTCATGTTTTTGTGTAATGTTTTTTCTTTTCTTTTTTGGTGCCAAAAATGAAAAAAAATGGGTTTGCCTTGTGCACACTCATGTGAGTGAGTGTGGGTGCACACTGCTAGAGCTTCATGCTGCAGCTAACTTGTTGGTGCAATATCCTTCATATTGTCACCACTTCTGTATAGGGTCCTGCTTTTGGTTATCTTTTGTACTTATTCTGTGGGCTTGCTGTTTCTGTATAAATGATTATGTAAACTGAGAGAACATTAAGCTAAATTAAAGCTAAATTTTTCTTCCTGTGTGGTGGTCATGGAAAGCCCGTGCGGGCTTCAAGCACAGAGGTGGCTGCTCCAAAAGCAGGTTTTGCCTGCTCCAATGGCTGCTCCGAAATGCTGGAAGGAATTCCCACCACTGCAAGAGCAGCCGCTGTAGCCAAAGTCAAAACGATGTGGTATTGCGGGAAAATTGGTCTCGGACCGATTTTTTGCATCGGTCTCGCAGTGTGTTTTTCCAGCCACTAAAGCGAGGAAAATTCTGCCAAGTTTCACCGCATTCACTCTCTTTGACGCCAAGAGTGAACGGGCCTGCCTCGCACAGACAAGCTGCGTTGCGCTGCTTATGTGTGGTGTTCAATCGCAAATTCGTATCATCCGCGGTGACTGGGGAAACCATTTGTATAGCACCAAATCACAGCGTATTTTGTGCTATGTAGTGCATTCAAAACAATCTTAAAATTCATATCATCGCGAAATTCGCATAGACCGTAATCGTATCATCGAGATTCTATTGTATTGTAATGATTACATTTTCAAAACTGTAGCTTTCTGGGTAAGTGAATTTTGTCATAATTGATTATCAGTAATCAATTAATTTGTTCTTGTTTTCCTGAAGTTGAGTTACAAGCAATCCTCCGCAGCAATTCTCGTCCTGAAAAACGTGCGACTGCTATGTGGTGATCCACCCATCCGGTAATATGGAGGGGTCCCTACAAGGCCTATTTTTTCCTTTTTTCTTGGCCCTACCTGCAATGCCTTACCGGAGCGCCAGTGACAGTGGAGCATGACACTTCATGGAGGACTGGCATAGA